GAGAGTGGGTTTGCTCCGTGTTTCACCCATGAAGGGTGTGATGAAGTTCGGGAAGAAGGGCAAGTTGAGTCCTGAGTATATCGGTCCTTTAAAGATCCTTGAGAGAGTTGGTAAGGTGGCCTACAAGCTTGTATCGCCACCTAACTTATCAACAGTTCATCCGATGTTCCATGTTTTTATGCTTCAGAAGTATTATGGTGATCCATCTCTTGTTTTAGACTTCAGCTCGGTCCAATTAGACAAGGATTTGACTTATATTGAGGAGCCGGTGGCTATCTTGGACAGATAGGTCCAGAAGTTGAGATCAAAGAACATTTCTTCGGTGAAGGTTCAATAGAGGGGTCATCCAATCGAGGAGGCGACCTGGGAGACCGAGCACGACATGCAGAGTTGTTGTTCTTATCTATTCATCACTTCAGGTATGTCCTTATGCACGTTCAAGGGCGAACATTTGTTTTAAGAGGGGAAGAATGTAACGATCTGATCGTTCATTTTGTGTAATTGCACCCTGATTCCCTTTTTATGCTTCACACATGTGTGTTTATAGTTCTATAACTTACAGGGTTGATTTGTTTTGTTCCATGAAGATCCTTTGGTTCTTGACTTAGAAACTTAAGATATAAATATTGACCAAACTTTGAATTTTGTGAAAATGACCCCATAACGGTCTTTTGATGGATCCGATAGCTTTGTATCGTGATTTTGGACTTGGGCGTATGCCTGGAATCGAAGTCGGAAGTCTGTAGGTTGATTTTTGTTATTTTTCCAAAAATCGGCAATTTAAGGCTTAGAAGTTTGACCGTAGGTTAACTTTTGTATATTGGGTTTGAAATTTAATTTTGGGATGTGGAATAGGTCTGTTTTTCTATGTAGAACTTGTTTGCAAAATTTGGTCATTAGGAGTTGAATTGATAGGATTCAGACGTTAGTTACAATTCTAGAAGTTCTTAAACTTTACTTTGAAATTCATGCATTTTGCTCTTTGATTCGTAGTTCTAGATGTTATATTTTTGTTTTTATCATGCGAGAAAGTTTGTATGATGTTTTTGGGCTTGTGTGGATGTTTGGTTTGGAGCCTTCAGGGCTCCGATGAGATTCGGATATGTTTCGGAATGTTTTAGACTGAAAAACAGATTCTGGTATCCTGATGCCTCTGGCGTCGCATTTGCGAACACCAGGGTCGCAATTGCGACCTTATCAGGGGGAGCCTCAAGTATCGCAATTGCGAATAGTGACAGGAGGTTGGCTAAATTGCATTTGCGACACAAAAGTCGCATTTGCAATGAGGACATGCTTCGCAAATGTAAAGTGAATGTCGCATTTGCTATCTCCTCTTAGGCTATCAGTGGCCGCATATGCGAGGATTTCTTCACAATTACGATGGTTTGCAATTGCGACAACTGCAACTGCACAAAAGGTTAGAAAAGCCGGGATTTAGTCTTATTTCTCACATTTTAGAATCCTAGACTCGATAGGAGGCAATTTGGAGAGGGGATATTCATCTACAAACATTTGGTAAGTGATGCTACTCAATTCGAACTATATGTCATGATTATATCTTAGATTTAACATCAAATTTATGTGAATCAAGAGAAAAAATTGAGAAATTTTGTCAAGTTTTTGAAAAGTACGAAATCGAGTTGTGAGAGTCAATTTGGACTTGAATTTTGAAACTAATCATATATATGGACTCGTGGGGTTATGGGTAGTTGGAATCTACCCTTTGACCCGGGTTTTGATCGGGCAAGCCCGGGGTTGATTTTTTGGGGAAAAGTGTAAATATCATAACTTTATCTATTGTAATTGTTTTACCTTGCATTGTTTAATAATATTATGTCAATTTTAGTTAGATTTGAGCCGTGTGGAGGCGAATTTTAGGGGAAAAGCTATTTTCGAGTGTTGAGTTGGCCTAGTTCAGGTAAGTATCTTGCCTAACTTTCTGTGGGGAACTACCCCTTAGTATTTGGGATTGATGTGATATTTGTGTTATGTTAAAGTCGCGTATGCAAGGTGACGAGTGGGTACACGAATTATATGTGGTATTTGACCGGTGTAGGTTATTTAGACTATTTTCATGCCTTTAATTGAATTTTCATATTATATATTCTAATTCTCATTGTTAATGTACTCTTACATGTATTAGTCTATCCTTTCATGTCTTATTTAATTTTGTTAACACTTGTTCTACCTCTTGCTTGTTGTTTTGCTCTTTTATGCCTAGTTGAAGTTATTTCCTTCCTTATTGCTTTGTTATATCTTTAATTGGTGAATTACTTGTAATTGAATTTGTTATTCTCTGAAATATCTTCTTGTTGATTTATTGGTGTTGAAGTTGTGAAAGTCGTTATCACATTAAGGCGAAATTGTTGATTGTTGAGATATATTCCTTGTTGAGCAATTCACATTCATTGTTATTATTGATATTCTTGTACACATTGTGATTGAGCCATGGGTTATTGTTGTGGAAACACTGATATTGTTGATTTTTGGCAAGTTGTGGCATATGGGCACTTGTGGTGCGGGTTGTTATTATGTTGTGATATTGATGCACATGCGGCAGTATAAGAAAAGGGGTTAATGTGCATGCGGCGTCATAAGGTGGGATTTATGTGCGTGTTGCTAGTAAGAAAATAAAATGAAGCCACGCGGCTTCATAAGGTGGACTAAAGTGAGTGTAGCTACTTCGAAAAAATATATATTCAAAACTATCTAAATGTAAGGCTCACGCAACGGTATAAGGAAAGATTTTGATTGAAATTGAGAAATGTGAATACGAGGCGGTACCTCGATTGTGATTCTTATTGTATACGAGGAGGTACCTTGGTTGTAATTCTTGTTGTGCATCTCATGTTGAAAAGAGTTATTGGTTCAACAATTCCTGTTGCGTTTATTCTTCCTTGTCTTACCAGTTTTGTCCGTATTTGACTTTTTGTGGTTCTTGTTATTTGCTTTCTTCTTGTTATCTTATGCTTACAATTCTGTCATTAGTTTACATTATTAAATTGCTTTGTTATCAATCATTTTTCCTATTTTTATTACTTTCCATTGTTTTATATATATATATATATATATATATATATATATATATATATATATTATGTTTATCATGTCCTAGTAGGTATCTTGACCTGGTCTCATCTCTACTTTATCGAGATTAGGCTTGATACTTACTGGGTACCATTGTGGTGTACTCATACTATACTTCTGCACATCTTTTTGTGCAGATCCAGGTACGTCGGCCCGTGCTGGACGTTAGTGATTGATTTGTTAGCTGCCATCTAGAGGTCCGCGGACCTCGGAGTCACCTTCCTTATCATTTCATTTTATTGTTTTCTTGTAGTAGACATTCTAGATTATTCGGTAGAGCTTATGACTCAGTTCCACCGATTTTGGGAAGAGTATTGTTATGATCCTATTTTGGAAGTTTATATGAGTATATCAGTCTTGCTTTAGTATTTCTATTGATTATTTAGGTTAAGCTATTATTAAATGTTAGGCTTACCTAATCTTAGAGACTAGGTTCCATCACGATATCCTAAGGTGGTAAATTGGAGTCATGACAATAACTAACAAACAAGAGCCATGGACAGCCAGCACAACACTTTATCCTCACCCTTGTTGGTTCATTAATATACTTATCTAATTGTACATGTTCTTGAACTGCATAATTAGTAAGTGCTTCTCCAAACTGTCTAACACTCTAAAAAACAAGACTAGTTTTCCAAATAATTAACTTACAACCAGGACCAAAGATAACCCTATTTTTTAGCTTTCTTCTTGCTCCTACTGGCTGTTGGACTTCATCTTCGCCTTCATCATAAGCATTTTCATCAGGATTTGTTCAAATCTAGCAGCTTCATCTAAGGGATAATATGGCTCATCTCCAGCAATCTTACCCTCAAAGTTGTCTTCTTCCTAGCTGCATATTCATCGTATCCTAGATCTGGACCCTTTTTACCTTACTTGGCATGTCTAGTTTCAATCTTTTTCTCTTTGCTCTTCCTACTCTGCACCTTTTTCCTCTCTTCTCTTAAACTCAATACTCCTCATCAACATCACTACCATGTTCTTCTTCCACATCCTCAAACAGCTCTTCAAGTTCTAAATTTGTACTATTGTCACTGCTATCCACATCAGATTCAACTAATGGAATATCATTAGCATGAGAAGGACCATCCTCATTCCCACCAGAAAAATTATCAGCAATAGGGACACTATTTTGTGGTTCTTGAAACCCTACACCTTCACTGACCCTAACACTTTGATTTGTCCCTCTATCAAAAGACCCACTAGATTCCCGCTTATATATTCAATAGCTGGAGGGACCACTAATGCTTCATCAATAGAGTGAGACACATACACTTCAAATATAATAGAGACACAATACCCACAATAGTCCTATATGTTAATTTTTTTACCAAAGTGCTAGAATTGGGTGGTCTCACATAAATAGAATATATTTCACAATTATACCTCTTTTCTTTGACATAATCTACAAACTTAAAATATAAAAATCTGTCAACATTAATATCAAAATAATCAGTCATGATACCACCTTTGTAGTTGATAGGATATTGTTGTAACTGACCACCATGGAAGATCCTCAATGTAACGAGCTCAAAAGCCATTTTTCGAACTGAAATCAATAAAGAAGAAAAACGAGAGCAAATATTTTTTACACTTCAAAATCGGCAAGAAATTGAAGAAAACAAGAATTAACTGCAAGAGACACCAACAATCCTCAATATCTACACTCTAAACGACGAGATTTAGGGAAAATCTACACGCGTTACTCTTTAGCTGGTCTGGTATCATGAAGGGTAGAACAAAAATCACTCGCAATGTTTTAAGGGGGTAAAAGAACACCCGTTTAGTTTAAGTATTCAAACATATTTTTTCGATAATTTTAATGGGATCTTTAGTATTTTGCCTAGATGTAATTATAAAACAAACTTGTGCAAAGTAAACATTTATGTCGGAACGGCTAATAAAAAATTAATGAGCAGCAACGGAAGAAGACTAGGCTTAGATATGACCCTCCTACTTCTACTTTTTACTGTTCTCGACTACAGGACCAGCGCTACACGCTCTGGTTAAAGTTAGAACTCTCTCTTTCAGTTCCATCTTCCCGGTTGCCGGTTTCTGCAGATCTTTGCCAGTGACGAAGCCTATTCTGAGGTAAAACTGCTAACTTTGTTTACATCTTCATTTCAATTGTTGCATTACGCGTGCTAGTTTCAACTCGTTAGGGTAATTCCAACATTCTCCTTTTTAATGCTTCTCCAATACCAATTTGTATTTTCTTCAATCTGTTTTGGGTGGGCCTTTTCTTCGATTTGGTTTCTCCATCTTCGCTAATTAGGGCTTTGCCCTTGTAACTTTTTGCAACACTTAAAGGTATTTTTCTTTTAAGTGCTGCAAAAATCTAAAAATGTTTGTCCTAAATCAATTATTTTTCTATTAATAGGGCTTAAGTTAATTGAAAACAATTTACCTACATTAATCGGGGCCCAAGCTTCTTGAAGATTGAGTTCACACATGGTTTCGTGATAATTTTGCTTCCTATTCGCCGGATTAGCTCGTTAGTTTTTTTCTTAGGTGCTCGCTGCATTAGTTTTCTCTGCATTTGAATTCTGGAGTTTTCCAAATTCTTTAGTCCTCAACCTGCTAAAATGAAAAAATAAGCTTACATATCAAAAGAGAATAACCAGCGTTTTCTGTTGAATGCTTGTAGGAATTAGGAAGTAAAGTAAAGGACTCAGCAAAAAAGACTATATTTTTAAGTTCCTCATAAAAAAGATTACATTTTAAAGTTAAAACCTCCCACCTCACTTTTATTCCCCCGTTCTTTCTCTTCCATGCCATAAATGGACCCCTTTGAAGATCACTTGGTTATATATTTGTGCTTCTCAAAACTTTGCTGCCTCTCTTGAGCCAAAAAACACTTCACTTCCTATCTATGACTTAAGTATTTGGCACATAAGCAACATAACATGGGCCCAGTCTGATCACATAATCCTCTTTGCCCAACCCAGCATTTGGGACGTCTAATGACTTTTTGGTCAAGATCACTCCTTTCTTAAGCCCAATAGGTTCAACCTACAGTATATTATAAACCATGTGTCAATCTTTTGGTTTATTTTAACATGAAGTTATTGTTTCATTGGTTTTATCTGAATATACAATCTTTCTGGTGGCCGTCGATTGGTATAACAACTGCCTTATGCAGAGTTTTTGGAAGCATCTGTAATGCGATTATCTGCATTAGTATAGCTTTGTCATAAATTTGGATTTTATATTTGAATAGTGATCAATATCTGAATGTGATTTTGGGATCAATCCTGTTACTTGGTGAGAATTCACTGCTGGCAGTGGGTTGGTTTTAATCAAAACGACTTTGGAACTCTCGGATGCTATTCACGTGTGTTTTTAATATTTGGTTTCTCTTATGTGTGGTCATGTGATAAGAGCATGGTAACTAATTTGCTAATCCTCCAATTACCTATTTACAGTTTATGCTTTCCTTCTGTTGCTTAGACCTTGGTTCATCGAGCATACTCCTAATATCAAAACTCTATGTTCATTAGTGAATTCTGCAGGAATAATGGACACCTATGTCAGTGCCAATGGAAAAGAGGGGGATAATATGTCTCGGCATTCCATTGTTAAGAAATTGAAGGGCTGTTATCAGTCTCCAGGAGTGGAAATTGTTAGAGCATTGCCTCAATTGCCAACAAAACCATCTGATTCTCTCGGTCCAGTCACTCCTGATTCCATTCGGGAAGGTGGTGACCACGTAGATGTGTGCTGGTCACCAGTGTCTTCTCTTCCGAGGACTCTTTGCTTCAATTCTCAACAATATGGCAACCTGGTTTATTCGAATGAAGGAAGTCCACGAACTCCAAAGAGGTTGGTCTTTAATCCATTTGCTCCTGGACCAGATGAACTCATGCTTGCCCCGCAGTGCGAGAAATATTTTGGAGATTCACGAACCAAAGTGATGCGTCAGCTTAACTTTGACGAGTTGCTGAATTTCGATGGAAATGTTGATCATACAGACAATATGGGATCTGTCTCAGAGGATGAGATGCTATTTGAATTGTTGTACAATTCTCTTCTAGAAGTTATTACCTCAAAACAAACAGAGGGTCTTCATGCTAAAGCCACAACTCCACTTTCAGATTCTGATGGATACAAGACACCTAGCTATGCACCTCGTCTTAGTGGAGTTGCTGATACTTGCCCCGATGCTCCTAGGAAGCCTGCAAATCGATTCAGAAATATTGACAAGGGATTGTGCAAAAAGCTTACATTCTGACATATCTTTGTGTTGCAATATAATAATAACTATGTGAAGAAATCTGGGTTCTCTACAAGAAGATTGATTCTAGTACATGACGACCTCACGCATCCTTACTCTAGTCACTAGCCTCAAAGCATTAACAAATTATTTGAATTTTTGACATGATACTTCTAATCTAGCCTTTACTTGTGATTCTAAGAGTTGTACTAATTATGTAGAGTTCAGTTCCAGCATTGAGTGGTTGTACTCTTGTAGTAGAATAGTATGTAGACTCTAGTTGAACAATATGTCAAGCTTTTATGCTTCCAAAACTAGTCGGTGCTCTCCACTTGGAGAAGAAGCTTGTAGTAACCAAATACTAATGTATTTCCTTTCTTTTTGGTACAACATGTCTTTAATTAATGATGTAGAAGCCAAGATTAGCTATTCTGTACATTCTACCCTACAAACTCTTATTGTGGGTTATCAATAAAATTATATTTTACTGATTAAAAAAAAAGGAGAGCTTGTAATTCATGGATTTAGAAAGTGCATGTGTGCTGACCTGCTGCCTTGGTTGAAATTTTATGTTCCTTTTTCCTATGTATTTTGTCATGCCGATAGAGTGTTGACAGTGGACAAGAAGGAATCGACCGTGAGCATCAGTTGGCAAGGAATACTTGTGGTGCTGTGGGCTCGAATGAAACCTGGGTCTAGGCTGACCTCTCCTACCTGGCTATTTCTATATACATGACTAAGCATTTGCCTGCCCTGTGCCTGAAGCTGGCTTTATTTCGATTGTCAAGCTGAATCTTAAGGTCCACGGCCATGCATGTTCAGTTTTATTTGTAGAGCAGGCTAGTAGATGTGTGTGGCAAAACCCTTTGGACAACCACAGATGACAGCTTAATTGCGAGGTTCCTTAATCCTTAATATGGTTAATGCCAATATGAGAATTAAAATGCAGAGTGAAGATGATGGCAGCAACGATGGCAACAGATACAATCCACCAGCTTTTTTTTATGTGTCCATCTCTAATGGTGCTTTGGGAAAGAAAAGAAACAAAAGAGTATTTAATACGTAACATGCACATTGGTGTATTTGTCCAAATTCAAACCTCATATCTACATTCTGCACTTTCTTTTTCCCTTTTCTTTCCCGCTTCTGGTGCTATGTAGCTTTCAACCAAATGAGCAAAAAAGTGGATGTTTGTTTTTGAAAGAACATGTTAATCTAAACGCGTTAGATAGCGCGTAAATAATAAATAGAGAACTTACTTGTTCTTATTAGCATAAGCGAAAGACGGATGAACCGCGGCTGAAATTACTAGTCGGCGGTGGTTGTCACCGTGTGTTGGAGCAACCCCTAATTTCACAGTCTAAACCCTAGTTAGATTGAGAGAAGACTAAACGTAGTAAAATGCTGTGTATTTCAATGTCTTTAGTTGTACACTGTATGTATACTCATAGGGAATATTAGGATTAATTAATAAGGGAGTTTTATAGCTTTACCTACAAAAATTAAACTAATTACCCTTACCTACCCATTCGTTTTTCTACCCACTAAACTAATTACCCTTCCTACCCATTGCAGCTTTTGTGGGTAATATTATTAGTGAAAGGATATAGGGAATCGTGATTGTGGCTATGCTTTCATAAAGTTAAATGGAAAGTCATAAGAGGCTATTGTTAAACCGTGAGATTAAATTGTGCACATAATTTATTCTTGACACATTACATAAGGAGGAGGGAGGCGAGAACCTGAGAAAGCCAACAAGAGGTGAAATCGTAGGTTGCCCATAAAAGTTAAGTAACGAGAAGAGAGAAATAATTATTATTTTCATCATCTAGTTCTAATACAATAAGTAACATCTCCATAGATTTCCATCTAACACCTCTTTTAAGAAAAAAAAAAATTGTAAAAAGCATGAGAACTTTGTTAAAATAATTAAAAAGAATCCAGTTAAAATTTTTAAAAAAATTAAAAAATGACCGAATTATAACATCATATTGTATATTGTAACAATATATTATTATAGTAAACTATATACTATTGAATTATATATTATATACCAAAATAACATACAATATATGAAAATGATATTTTATATTCTTCACTCAACATTATATTATTACATTAAAATAGTATACTATTATGGTATATTGTATACTATTACAACATATTATTGCAGTATATTGCACATTTTTACAATATACCGTTATAGTATATTATTTACAGTAATAGTGTAAAGTTGCATTATAGCTATATACTATTGTATAACGTAATGGTATACTGTTAGGTAACTATGTTCTTCTTCGATTAATACAGTATACCGTTGCAGTATATTGTATACTATAATAGTATATTGTTGCAATATAGCTATATACACCTACAACATATTGTATACCGTAGCCGTATACTATTAGGTAACTGAGTTCTTCTTCAATTTCAGCTAAAAGATTCAATCTCAATCACCTCAAATCAACCTCATATGTGATCAAATTTCAGTATGAACTTCCAGAAGGTACTAAAAGTAATATTTAATAACATCCATTTTTAATCAAACAAGAAATCTTCAAAAATAAAAATTGAGCTTCAAGCCAACAATGGTGGATATCCAACACACATAAAAATTCAGATTTGGGAAGCTTACTCGAAGGTACTATAAGCAATATTTTATGGCACCCACATCGAATCAAACAATAAATCTTCAATAGGAGGTAGAGCAATAGCTTGGGTTGACCCTCTTAATGAAGATCGATCTGGTAGAGAAGAAGTAGATCCATTCAAATCCACTACCAGGTAAGCTTGCAAAAATGAAGCCGAATGTTTTATTATTCTGTACTTCAAATGAGAAGGAAAATAGCTAATGGGTTAGCTGGGTAAATAGTTTGGACTGCATAGGCAGGAAAAGTAAATAGTTTAGGCTTGGGTATTAAATGGTAAATAGTTTGGGCTTAATGGGTGTAAAGTGAGATTTCCTTATGGGGGGGACCCAAAATTTCCTACATCTTCCACTCACACATAATGGGAGTGCTCATCTAGTATGAGAAACATATTCTCATCTCATCTCCTCAATCATTCAAACATGGAAGTAGACCGTTCAACCAGCATACTGCGAGAGCTGAGTGCTATACACCTGTTAGGAGTATATAGCCTCTCGTCGAGTGCAAACCTACAAGTAGATTATAAAGTATGTAGTACCCTAGATCATATGAATAACAATTTGACATAATCTCAAAATTTCACATATCATTATTTCTTGTATTCACGATCATAACTCATAAATTATAACTGGTGCACCAGCGAACAGAAATAAATGAGATTCCATCAATGATCTTCCTCTTCTCACGATCCCCTTAACATTAGTATCGATCTTTTTCTAGATATGCTCCACTAGACCAAGTATGTGTTCATGATCTTTTGGAAACACAATATGATAACTATCATCATACTAAGTCTCAAGTATCTGATCGTAGTCTCTGAGGGTATAAAATCTTGAGCCATCATAAAAGCTCTGGGTCTCACGCAACAATAAGTTGAGAATGGAGTTATGTTAACTCAATTGGTCGACATTAGCACACATGGTATGAAACACGTGCTACAACATTTTCTCCTTTTTTGCAAGGAGCGTATGTCTTTATCTCATAAAGAATGTTGTACATACGATATTTGGACACCATAGGTATCTAAATTTGAGTTCCTTGATCTACAAAATCATATTTAACTCACATCTGGATCACAAAGTAGACTAGGTAAACATTTTCACCCTAATAACCTCATGTCATTATTTAAGCGACATTCTGATTTTAAGCGAATAGCTCTCAAATTATCCTTATGATAATTTTGCTTAAAATCATGTCTCATCTCCTCACATCACTAAGATAAGGAGGCGGTTGCATGTGTGAGAAGGCAAACCTCTTGTCTAGCCGATATACTTACAAAAAAAATGAACAAAGAATGCACATAACATTCAGCAATATAAATATGTATGTATGTAAATCAACTTTATTGACAATCAAAGAACATCAGTTTTGTGAACACAGGAAAATGAATATCAAAATAAAGTATCTCAAAGTCTACGCAAGCCTTGAGACCTAGTGTGTCTCACAAATGCATCTCTAGACAAAGGCTTGGTCGATGGATCTGCTAACATATCTTTTGTAAACACATATTTTACATTCTCTACCTTGCGTCTAACCATTTCTCTCGCATAGTTATACTTGATATCTATGTGTTTAGTTTTACAATGAAACTTAGGGTCCTTAGTGGAGGATATTGCAGCTTTACTATCACTGTAGACTAACACTGGTTCAGAATTTTCTACAATATCCAACAAGTGTTCCGAGAATTTTTTCAACCAACCAGCTTCTTGTGCTGCTGATGCAAGAGCCACGTATTCGTCTTCCATCATAGATAGTGATACACATGATTGTTTCTTACTATTCCATGATATGGCGCCATCACTGAGTAAGAACACATATCCTGAGGTAGACTTCCTTTAGTCTAGATCTCCTCATGATCACCATCATTGTATCCAACTAATCGTAGATCCTTTCCGCCTTGGTAAGAAAGGGCATAATCAGCAAATCCCTTCAGATATCTCATGATCCTCTTTACGTCTTGCCAATGTGCTAAACCAAGGTCGTTTTGATATCTACTTACCAAGCCAATTGCTTGACAGATATCAGGTCTAATGCACACCATAGCATACATTAGACTTCCGACTGTGCTTTTATAAAGAACTCGGCTAATTCTTTCTGTCTCTTTAGGAGTCTTAGGACACATCTGACTTCCCAATGCATGACCTTTGCTCATATAATCTTCCAAAAACAAAATCTCAACAATACACTCCCCAAGACCGGTGGAACTGAGTCTTAAGCTCTACAGAGTAAGCTAAAATTTTTATTACATCACTATCTTAATGAAAAAAATGCAACAGTAGTAAAGTTAAAGGAAGGTGACTCTGAGGCCTGCGGACAGCGAGCAGGCATACATTGAAGTCTTCATAAGCAGCTAACAGTCGATCACTAACGTCCGGTACGAGCAGACGTACATGGATCTGCACAAAAAGATGTGCAGGAGCGTAGTGTGTACACCACAACGGTACCCAGTAAGTATCAAGCCTAACCTCAGTAGAGTAGTGACGAGGCCAGGTCAAGACACCTACTAGGATATAAATAAACAGTATGAAACATAATAACAATAAATAATGGAAAGCAGAGAAATAACTGATATGAAACAAGTTAATAGCATGAACTAACACCGGAACTGTAAGCATGGAAATAACATAAAGAAATCGATTAAAGAGAACCACAATGATCATATACGGATAATGACTGATTGAACAAGGAAGGACAAAATAACAAGAAGTGTTCCCACCAAAATTCTTTCCAATATGAGATAAACAACAAGAATCACAA